TTAAAAAAAACCCTAGTCCAGAGAGTGAGAAAGCCAGACTTACGGTTCTGATTTTTCTTCTTAATCCCCTTGTTTGGGCAGATCTGGAAAGGCCAGGTTAACAAAGAAAAAAGAAATGCATAACTCAAGTTGCTTGATGCTTCTTATAACAGGAACTTCAGCCAAGATCCACCGAAACAGATTACAAATAATCCTCGCCTTACAACCACAAATGAACCCATCATATACACTCATGATGGCGAACCTATGACACGCGTGCCACAGGTGGCACATGGAGCTATATCTGTGGGCACGCGAGCTTTGCTCTAGCCCAGCTCCAGCACGCATGTGCATGCTGGCAAGCTGATTTTTGGGCCTTCTGGACCCACCGGAAGTTGGGAAATGGGCTGTCTCTGGCCTCCGGAGGACCTACAGGGGGGTGGGGAAGGCCGTTTTTGCCCTCCCCAGGCTCCTAGAAAGACTCTGGAGCCTGGGGAGAGCGAAAAATGGGCCTTCTGGGCCTACCGGAAGTTGGGAAACGGGCTGTCTCTGGCCTCCGGAGGACCTACAGAGGGGTGGGGAAGGCTGTTTTTGCCCTCCCCGGGCTCCTAGAAAGACTCTGGAGCCTGGGGAGAGCAAAAAATGGGCCTTCCTGGGCCTATCGGAAGTTGGGAAACGGGCTGTCTCTGGCCTCTGGAGGACCTACAGAGGGGTGGGGAAGGCTGTTTTTGCCCTCCCCAGCTCCTAGAAAGACTCTGGAGCCTGGGGAGAGCAAAAAATGGGCCTTCCGGGCCCAACGGAAGTTGGGAAACGGGCTGTCTCTGGCCTCTGGAGGGCCTCTGGGTGGGAGGGGAGGCTGTTTTCGCCCTCCCCAGACTCCAAGAAAGCAAAAACCGGGCCCACCAGGCTATCACATGCCAAAAGCGGGGAGGGGGGTGTCACACACACAATGCGGGGGGGCGCATTGAATTATGGGTGTGGGCACGGACATGCGCAACCCCCCCCCCCCCCGCACTCCCCCTGCTTTTGGCACGCGACGGCAAAAAGGTTAGGCATCACTGATACACACTGTTAAGCAAGACAGTTGTTAAGTGGCTTTTGCCCCGTTTTACGACCTTTCTTTACTTTACTTTATTCAAATTTCTATACCGCCCTTCTCCTTTCGGACTCAGGGCGGTGAACAGCCAAGATAAAAACATCTATACAAAACATCACAGTTAAAAAATAAAGTTAAAATAATTTATAAATTTGGCCCATAATTTAAAACTTGTCAATTTAAAATCAATATTAAAAATTTAAAACTAACCCTAAAATCAAGACAGACCGGCTAACTGGAAAAAATAAGTTTTTAGGGCCCGACGAAAAATCCGAAGGTCGGAGATCACTCGTATCTCTGGGGGTAGATTGTTCCATAGGGTAGGTGCCACCACAGAGAAGGCTCTCCTCCTGGGGGTCGTCAGCCGGCATTGTCTGGCCGACGGCACCCTGAGGAGGCCCTCTCGGTGGGAGCGAACCGGCCGGTGGGAGGCTGTTGGTGGCAGAAGGCGGTCCCGTAAGTACCCTGGCCCTAAGCCATGGAGCGCTTTAAAGGTGATCACCAACACCTTGAAGCGCACCCGGAAGTCCACCGGAAGCCAATGCAGCTCGCGCAGGAGAGGAGTCACATGGGAGCGCCCCGTCGCTCCCATAATCCCCCGCGCAGCCGCATTCTGCACCAGTTGGAGCCTCCGGGTGTACCCCAAGGGGAGCCCCATGTAGAGAGCGTTACAATAGTCCAGACGAGAAGTGACGAGTGCTTGAGTGACCGTGCATAGGGAGTCCCGGTCCAGAAAGGGGCGCAACTGGCGTATCAGGCGAACCTGACAAAAAGCCCCCCTGACCACGGCTGTCATATGCCCTTCTAAAGACAGCCGCGCATCCAGGAGGACACCCAAGTTGCGGGCCCTCTCCGTGGGGGCCAATGATTCGCCCCCAATAACCAGCGATGGCGTCAGCTGGCTATACCGGGACGCCGGCAGCCACAGCCACTCGGTCTTGGAAGGGTTGAGTCGAAGCCTGTTTCTCCCCATCCAGACCCGCACGGCCTCCAGGCACTGGGACATCACTTCCAAGGCATCATTGGGATGGTCTGGGATGGAAATGTACAGCTGAGTATCATCAGCGTACTGATGGAACTCCACCCCAAAACCACGGATGATCTCACCCAGCGGCTTCACATAAATGTTGAACAGGAGGGGCGAGAGGACCGACCCTTGCGGCACCCCACAAACAAGGCGCCTTGGGGTCGACCGCTGCCCCCCTGTCAACACGGATTGCGACCGGTCGGAGAGATAGGAGGAGAACCACCGCAAAACGGTGCCCCCCACTCCCAGTCCCTCCAGCCGGTGCAACATGATACCATGGTCGATGGTATCAAAAGCCGCTGAGAGGTCTAATAGGACCAGGATAGAGGAAGAACCCCTATCCCGGGCCCTCCAGAGATCATCCACCAACGCGACCAATGCCGTTTCCGTGCTGTACCCAGGTCTGAAGCCGGACTGGAGCGGATCCAGATAGATAGAGCCCCCGTTGTCAAGTGAAACCCTGCAGTTGCTAAGTTAGTGACCCGGATGTTAAGTGAATCGGGCTTCGCCATTGACGTTGCTCATCAGAAGGCCGTCAAAGGCAATCACGTGACTCCGGAACAGGGTTCTCATAAAAAACACGTGTCATTTTGCCAAGAGTCCGAATTTTAATCATGCAACCATTGGGAAAGTACAACAGTCGTCAGCGTGAAAAACAGTCGTAACTTTTTTCAGTGCTGTTGTCACTTCAAACAAATGGTTTCAAGTTGAGGGCTACCTATAATTAGATATGTCATTTAATTATCCTTTTTTTCCCCATAATGCAGTGGTCCTCAACCTCTTTTTTTTTTTCTCACCATTGACCTCCTTTAAATACCTTTTGTGGCCACGGAACCCCAAGACTTACCGTAAACTCAGGATTTAAATCATGATATTTCTTCAAGCCTTCAGGGAACCTCTGTGACATCAGCACATTACCCCCCCCCCCCACCAGGGTCTGCGGACCACCATTTGAGAGCCACTGCCATAACAAATTGCTGCCTCAAACCAGAGGTGAAATCCAGCAGGTTCTAACAGGTTCTGACGAACCGGTAGCGGAAATTTTGAGTAGTTCGGAGAACCGGCAAATACCACCTCTGGCTGGCCCCAGAGTGGGGTGGGAATGGAGATTTTGCAATACCCTTCCCCTGGAGTGGGGAGGGAATGGAGATTTTGCAATATCCTTCCCCTGGAGTAGGGAAGGAATGGAGATTTTGCAATATCCTTCCCCCAGGAGTGGGGAGGGAATGGAGGTTTTGCAATATCCTTCCCCCAGGAGTGGGGAGGGAATGGGGGTTTTGCAATATCCTTCCCCTGGAGTGGGGAGGGAATGGAGATTTTTTAATATCCTTCCCCTGGAGTGAGGAGGGAATGGAGATTTTGCAATATCCTTCCCTTGGAGTGGGGAGAGAATGGAGATTTTGCAATATCCTTCCCCTGGAGTGGGGAGGGAATGGAGGTTTTGCAATATCCTTCCCCCAGGAGTGGGGAGGGAATGGAGATTTTGCAATATCCTTCCCCCAGGAGTGGGGAGAGAATGGAGATTTTGCAATATCCTTCCCCCTGGAGTGGGGAGGGAATGGAGGTTTTGCAATATCCTTCCCCCAGGAGTGGGGAGAGAATGGAGATTTTGCAATATTCTTCCCCCTGGAGTGGGGAGGGAATGGAGGTTTTGCAATATCCTTTCCTTACCACGCCCATCAAGCCACCAAGCCCACAGAGCCGGTAGGGAAACATTTTGGATTTCACCCCCTGTCTCAAACTATTTCTTTTTAAAAAAAATTCTAAAGACTTGTCAGACACGGCAATAAAGATATCTGATTTCTTCCTCTTTTTTAAAAAAATCTTTTTATTTTTTATTCATAAACATTTTGAATAGAGTGAATTGTCAGGGTATATCATTTACAAAAGAAAAACAGAGAAAATGCATTAAAAAGTACTGTGTTTCCCCGAAAATAAGACCCTGTCTTATATTTTTTTTCGAACTCCGAAATAAGCGTTTGGCCTTATTTTCGGGGAGGTCTTATTATTTTGGGGCACATGGAGCAAGATGGGGCTCCTCTTGCCGTCTTACCTGATTTCCAGCTCTGTCTCCCTAACCCTAACCAGAGGAAATGGGACCGACTGTACATGCAGTTAAATATTTTTGGGGAGGGCTTATTATTAGCACATGCACTCAAAAGCACATGCACTTCATGAGCCTTGGTAGTACAGGGGTTTAAGGCACCCTGTTATTAAGCTGGTTATTAAGACCAGCTGCCTGCAATTACTGCAGGGTTCGAATCTCGCCAGGCTCAAGGTGGACTCAGCCTTCCATCCTTTCTAAGGTAGGTAAATTGAGGACCCAGTTTGTGGGGGCAATAAGCTGACTTTGTATAAATATACAAAAGGATGAAGGCTATTGCTGAGCACAGTGTAAGCCGCCCTGAGTCTTCGGAGAAGGGCGGCATATAAATCAAATTTTTTTAAAAAAAGCCCGATTGGGCTTGTTATCCAGGGAGGTCTTACTTTGGGGAAAACAGGGTATTAACACATATATTGGTAACAGTAGTAGTAATGTACCAGAGTAATTTAGCTAAACTTCTCTTTATATTGGCTTATTTATAATTCTGTTAAATATATTGGCATATTTATAAACCGTCTTTATCTTTAATTCATACGTACCAATAATCTTCCTTCATCTAATTTCTACCTCTTCTCTCTAACCACTCATAAAATCTATTCCTTATCAAGTAATATTCTGTGTCATCCTTGTCTTTTATTTTTAAAAGTCAGCCTGTCCCTCCCAGCACAGTCTTAACATTTTCCGAATTATATCCTCATCTGGTGGAGTATGCTCATTTTTCCAGTATTTTGCAAATACGATCCTTGCTGCTGTCAGTACATGCAAAACTAAAAAGGTATCTGATTTCATTGTAGGCGATTTCCTGATATGCGTTGCCCTTCTCAAACAATCCAGGCTAGTGACACGAATGAGGTTATAGTTTAGCCTGGAATTGCAGAAAATGGCCAGAGTTAAGCGACGGTGCCAAAAACGGAGATCCAGAACAAAATCCTTGTCAAAGGAAAAAAAACATACTACGTTGACATCTTCATCCAGTCTTCCTTCAAAAGCTTCGCCTCCAACGTAAGCATTTCTTCTTAATTCTCTTTAGCACTTCCGAGTAACATTTTGCAATTCCCAACATATTTTTTTCTTAAACGGGTAGTCCTCGACTTACGACCACAATGGAGCCCAAAATTTCTGTTTTTAAGTGAGACATTGGTTAAGGGAGTTTTGCCCTACTTGGCGACTTCTCTTGCCTCGGTCATTAAGTGAAGCGCTGCAGTTAGCGACTCGGTTAGTAAGTGAATCTGGCTTCCCCGTTGAAGTCACAAAAGGTGATCGCATGACCTTGGGACAATGCAACAGTTGTAAATACGAACCAGTTGCCAAGCCTCCGAATTTTGATCACGTGATCACGGGGAATGCTGCAAAGGTTGTAACTGAAAAATGGTCATTAGTCACTCCATACTGTTGTAACTTTGAACAGTCACTAAATGAACGGTTGTAAGTGAAGGACTAGCTGTATTTCTTGGTTATAGCTTGTGATTAATGTTCAGTTGCTTTAAGAGCAACCACAGTCCTTGAGTCCTTGACGTAAGACAATACTTCCATCTCTAACCAAAACTTCCATCTCTAAGCGATGCAGTCATTAAATAAGTCCTTCATTTTACAAACTTTATTGTCGCAGCATTAAGCAAAACCATCTCCCCCCCACCCTTTGACGTTGCTTATTGGAAGCTGGCTTGGAAAGTCACAAATGGCAATCATGGTTTTTGCAAAGAAAATGTTCATTTATACTTGGCTGTTGTTTTCAGCAGGTCTCCGGTTATCCTCCGTAGCCAAAGACGGCGATTCTCTTCCTGGCTTTTGGCGTTTAGAGACATATCAGAAACCCTCAAACATATCCTGGCTGCCGCAGTTAGTTGGTGTTGGTGGTGCCAGAGACACGTTGCACAAGTAAGTTCGTTGTCAACTCGCAAAGCATCCCTGCCCTGCTCTCGAGTTACCATAGGCAAGGGGGATGGGAAACCAACAAAGCAGCACGGCAGCCAAAAAACAGAAGTACATTCCAGACTTATCTCTGTCAAGGCTGTCTCCCAGGGTTACCCACAGCGGCCGGAGGGGAGTGATCTCTACAGGTCGTGAAATTGCTCCATTGGCGAATGTGATTGATGACACCCCTGAGGGGCGGGGGGGAAAACAGGGTCCTGATTGGGGGCGTAAATTACATGGGGTCAGAGTTGGCTTCACCTGGAACATGCCGACATGAAGCTCCTAATAAATAACTGGATTTCTTTTGAAGCTTGGCTCGAGGCTCATGATTTAATTATGCCCTACATGTAGGGAAATCCTTTAGTGACCGCTTGGCGCTGAAAAAGTGACATATGACCGTTTTTCACTCTTATAACTGTTGCAAGCATCCCCGCGGTCACATAATCAAAATTTGGACGCTTGTCAACTGGCATGTATTTATGATGATTGCAGTGTCCCGGGGTCATGTGATGACCTTTTACGACCTTCTGACAAGCAAAATTAATGGGGAGGCTTGATTTCAGTCAACGAACATCAGCTTTTTTGGACTTTCCCCGGGCTGAAGATGTCATAAGGGATTTTACGGCAGCCAGGTTTCCTTGGAATTTAAACTTGGTTCTTGCCCAATGAAGGTTTCTTTTGCGGGACTTAAAAGGCAACCTGAATTTACTTATTTATTTATTTATTTAGTGGTTATCCTGCCTTTATTAATTTATCGGTAACTCAAGGCGGCAAACATGCATAATACTGTGGGGTATAATAATAATAATACTCTGAGCTAAAAATATTCCCTTCTGTCGGTAATACGGTACATAATATTTGTCTTCTTTTTTTCATCACAACGACAGCCCTGTGAGGTGGGCTGGCCTGAGGGAGAGGAATTGGCCCAGAATCATCTAGCTGGCTTTTATGCCTTAGGCGGGACTAGAACTCGCCGTCTCCTGGGAATTGGTCCAAAATCACCCAGTCAGCTTTCATGCCTAAGGCGGGACTAGAACTCACCGTCTCCTCGTGATTGGCCCAAAGTCACCCAGTCGGCTTTCATGCCTAAGGGCGGTACTAGAACTCACCGTCTCTTCGTGATTGGCCCAAAGTCACCCAGCAGGCTTTCATGCCTAAGGCGGGACTAGAACTCACCGTCTCCTCGTGATTGGCCCAAAGTCACCCAGTCGGCTTTCATGCCTAAGACGGTACTAGAACTCACCATCTCCTCGTGATTGGCCCAAGTCACCCAGTCGGCTTTCATGCCTAAGGCGGTACTAGAACTCACCATCTCCTCGTGATTGGCCCAAAGTCACCCAGTCAGCTTTCATGCCTAAGGCGGTACTAGAACTCACCATCTCCTCGTGATTGGCCCAAAGTCACCCAGATGGCTTTCATGTCTAAGGCCAGACTAGAATTCACCGTCTCCTGGTGATTGGCCCAGAGTCACCCAGCCGGCTTTCATGCCTAAGGCCGGACTGGAACTCACCGTCTCCCGGTGTCTAAGCTAGCATCTTATCCACTACACCCAAAAGAAAACCATGCTTGAATTTACACCATTTCCTTTACGTCTCCTCTAATCCTATGGAACCGCGATTCCTTTCTCTTCCCAGATTCTTCACGTCTTTGTCAGTGCAGCATTTCCTTCGCACACCTACCTGGCGGAGCTGAAGGAGCTCAGGGCGGAAGTCGAAAACCTGAAAAGGGAAGTGGCTGAGCTGCAGTCAGTTCTTCAAGTTAGTTACCCCTTACTACCATTGTAGCTACTCCAACCCTATCAGATTGCGTTGGATGGAGTGCGAGGGCCTCTTCCTTCCCGGGAACCACGTCAGGGCTCCGTCTCCACAGGCTGCAGGCGCCCCCGCCGAGGAGAACCATGCGAGGAACAGCGGCGGGCTGGAGGGGCTGAAGCGACCCCAGACCCCATGGCAGCTGGAAGTCGGTGGTCGCACTGGTTGAGGAAGGGACCTTTCCATAAGAAACAAGGAAACCCTCTGTGGCCCAGGGATTGGGGGTTGGTGTCCGGGGCCCCCACTTCTGCTTCCTTTTGATGAATTAATTTGCTTCCTATATTTGCAAGGTTCTAATCTGAAGCCATCAAGAGTTAAGGATCACCGGACAAAGAACATCAGGCCATTAGAAATAGCATGCTTTTTTTAATAGGTCTCCGTGAGCAGGAGGGGGTTGGATTAGATGACCTCCAAGGTCCCTTCCAACTCTGTTACTGTTACTGCTCATCTTTAGGACATGATGTATTTATTTTTATATACATATATACATATACATACATACATACATACATACATACATACATACATACATATATATATATATATATTTGATTTGATTTATATGCCGCCCTTCTCCGGAGACTCAGGGCGGCTTACAATGCGTTAAGCAATAGCCTTCATCCTTTTGTATATTTATACAAAGTCAGCTTATTGCCCCCACAAACTGGGTCCTCATTTAACCTACCTTAGAAAGGATGGAAGGCTGAGTCAACCTTGAGCCTTGGCGAGATTCGAACCTGCAGTAATTGCAGACAGCTGTGTTAATAACAGGGTGCTTAGACCACTGTACTGTCAAGGCTCTTATTATATTAGTCATATTTCGATGCCGCCCAATCTCCGAGGACTCTGGGCGGCTTACACCAAAGACAGTATACTAAATAGCATATTTCCCCCTAACAATCTGGGTCCTCATTTTACCCACCTCGGAAGGATGGAAGGCTGAGTCAACCTTGAGCCTGGTGAGATTTGATCCGCTGATCTGCTGAACTAGCAGTCAGCTGAAGTAGCTGCAGTACTGCACTCTAACCACTGCACCACCTCGGCTCATGTATCGTTAAGCAACTTATAGTTCGCTGTAGGGCATTTTATTCATGAAACCAGAACTAAAAGACGATTTCTGGTGGGGGAAATGATAAATTGCCATCCCACGGGGCACTGCAAATGGTCGTAACTGCGAGTCAATTGCTAAGAGCCCAAAATGTGGCCACATGATTGTAAGAGCCTGTAGTACAGTGGACTAAAGCACACTGTTATTAACATCTGCTGCCTGCAATTACTGCAAGTTCAAATCTCTCCAAGGCTCAAGGTTGACTCAGCCTTCCATCCTTTCTAAGGTAGGTGAAATGAGGACCCAGATTGTGGGGGCAATAAGCTGACT